AAAAAAAAAAAAAAAAGAAAGAAAAGGAGCTGGAGGTGCTCCAAAACTTTAGACATAGGAGGTTGGGAGGAAGGTGGAGACTATCAGTTTGACAGAAATAATAATTGAGCCAATGTTTTGTCATCCACAAATGGTTTTCAATACTTCTGTGAACATAATCCAATTTAACCTCTGTTTCCACAGCAGTATATGCTTGCCTTTTTGGTACCTATTGCACTAATGTAATTGGTTTCTTACCTTTTAAAAATATTTGTCTTATTCAATTTTTTTTTTAGAGACAGAATCTCACAGTGTTGCCCAGGTTGGAGTGCAGTGGTGTGATCATAGCTCACTGCAGCCTTGAAGTCCTGGGCTCAAATGATCCTCCCGCTTCAGCCTCCCAGGTGGCTGGGTTTACAGGCACGCACTTCTATGCCTTGCTAATTTTTTAAAAAAAATTTTTTATAGAGATGGGGTCTTGCTGTTGTTGCTCCAGCTGGTCTCGAGCTCCTGGCCTCAAATGATCCTCCCTTCTTGGTCTCTCGAAGTGCTCATAGGTGTAAGCCACCATATCTGGCCTCAATTTTTAAAGATTATTGACTTTGTTATCTTTTTAAAACTTACTTATATTATTATAAAGAGATACTATCCAGTCCTGTCTTCCCTTCTCTCTAAACCTTCCCTGATGTAGCCGTTGTTAACAGTTTAGTGCATCTTCTTCCCAACATCTTTCTCAACCTATGTAAGCATATGTCTCCTGCGTTTTTTTGGTATCACCTGTGTGTCTAGCACAGTGCCTGATGTAAAGTAAGTGTTCAGTAAATGTTAGTTGAATGGCTGAAATATTTTGTGCATTGTTACTGCTTGCTGTTATATAAGTCAGAAAGGCTAACTTCCTTGTCTTTTCTTCCTGACATATCAGGATGACCAGTGATGGAATCAACATGCCTCGACTAATTATCAGTCAACTAAAATGGCTTGACAGAGTTGTGGATGGCAAGGTAGCCTATGGGACTTTATTTATCTCTTGAATTTTATTTATTTATTTGAGACTGGGTCTTGCTCTACACCCAGGCTGGAGTGTAGTGGTGTCATCATTATTCATTGTAACCTGAAACTCCTGGGTTCAAGTGATTCTCCTGCCTCACCCTCCCGAGTAGCTGGAACTACAGGCACACTGTACCACGCCTGGCTAATTGCATTTTTTTTGTAGAGACAGGGTCTCGCTTTTATTCAGGCTGGTCTTGAACTCCTGACCTCAAGCAATCTTCCCAGCTCAGCCTCCCAAAATGCTAGGAGTACAGGCATGAGCCATTGCACCCTGCTGTATCTCTTAAATTTAAAGAATATGTTTTCCACACTTAGCCAAGCTTTTAGAATTTGTAGGATTTTTTTCCTTTTTCTAAACATAAAATTCCTATTTTTCAATTCATCCATTAGCTTTTTCCAGCTTTCATAATTTGAAAATCATCAGTATTTCACCCTTTAAATTTCTTCAGAAGTTTATTTCATTACAAAGATTAGATATAATTTCTTAAATAATTTGTAGGATTTTTTTCCTTTTTCTAAACATA